CCGCGAAGTTTAAGGGCCAGACCCGTATCTGTTTGATAGCAATATTTTCATGGACCAGTTTTTTTTTTTAAATGAAGATTGGAAGTCGCAACCAGAGTGTCTCACTTTGAACTTTTATTATTTTTTTCTACCAAACAGCCCCCCAGTGGCACAGCGGTATGTCTGCGGATTTATAACGCTAGAATTGTGGTTTCGATACCCGTGTTGGCCGGAGCACAGGTAGCCCATTGTGTAGCTTTGTACTTAATTGTAAACAAACAATCTACCAAACATTTCTCAAAACACAAGTAAAATAACAAAAAAAATATTTTCTAAACAATTCATTACTATTAATACTAAAAATAAACGACCTCATAACACCAATTTTTTTTTTTTAATTACACACTCAACGTTTCGCTCTACAGCTTTTTCAGAAGCACAAAACACAAACCGAAATTTACAGTACAAAGCCTCAAAATGTTGGGTGTCTAATTAAATAAAAAAAACAGTATTTTTGTGTTACAAGGTCGTTTATTTCTAGTATTAATATGACTTCTATACACCAATATGCACTACAGAAATTAAATAATGAGTCCATTATTATTGTTATTTCTTGGTTAGGCTTATCTGTCATACTGACGATCATAAGGTGCTATGTTAGTACGAGATGTTTTGTTTAAGATTTTGTCCGTCATCTGACAAACGAGTGCAAGGTGGTACGAGATGAAAATGTTGTGATTAATTTTTTGTCAACCATAGCTTTTTCAGATCTTGCCTTTCTTCCCGTATCGTACGGATAACACTACTGGTTCTTCGTATCTTAAAATAGTTTCTAAAAATTAATTTATTTGAATCCGTTTGTTTGGCGTTTTTAATTTCGCGCAAAGCTACTCGAGGGCTGTCCCTAATTTTGAAGAGATACACTAGTTTCGGAGGTCTTGTATAGTTTTTTTCTCATAGTGACTACAAAGCACGTACACACTAACAAAATGCTTAATATTATAACTGTCTAACAGCAGTTGTGCAAATTGCGGTTGCTGGCTAAAGGTAGTAACGGTTATATGAGCATATTTACTTTAAAAATAATAATAATAACAACCTTTGTTGAAGCACAAATAGCGTCCATTTAGTTAACAAAAATCTTTAAAAAAAAACAAAAACATTCACCATTTCCCAGATCTAGTACCGACTCCAATGAGATTCTTTCGTTCCATTTTCAAATGCGCATGATTCACGATTTCAAAGTCATTAATTCTGATCCCTATTCAGTGAGATCCTTACAAAGGAGTTAAAGGATTTGCTAGAAAGCGCGTGATTGGTGCCAAGTAGAATGTGGAGGGGAAAAGAAAACACGGGGGGGGGGGAGATGCACCACCGTTCCGTGACTAGCCTTAGCTGAACACAATGGACACGCAGGGTTCCCGGTAAATTCCCTCATCTTGAGACGAAGATATCTAAAGCCGTAAAAGAATGAATACGTCCATAATCTTTGAAACCTCCGATATTCGTCCAGGTCGTGTTCATAATCTGAATTTACCACCAACGGAGGACAGTTAGGTGAACTGATGAAGCAAAATAAATACTTGTTAAGGAATAGTTTCGTGATCTATTCCAATGCACGGAGAAACCCGTAGTGAGCTTTCTCTTCTGTGGAGTATTTGTTTCCCCAACAAAAACAGTAAGGATGAAAGAAAGTTAACAAGCAAAGCTGGAAACATAGAAAGTTTTTTTTTTGTTTTCTATGTGTGGCACTTAGTTTGTTTGGTTGTTTTTGAATTTCGCGCAAAGCTACACGGGGGCTATCTACACTATCCATCCCTAATTTAGCAGTATAAGAATCGAGGGAAGGCAGCTAGTCATCACCACCCACTCTTCACCAATTCTTGAGCTACTCTTTTACCAACGAATAGTGGGATTGATCGTAACATTATAATGCCCCCACGGCTGAAAGGGCGAACATGTTTGGTTTGACGGGGATTCAAACCCACGACCCTCAGATTGCGAGTCGGGCCGTGGTACTTAGTCTTGGAAATTTTTAACCTGAATGGCACTAAACGGCCAGGTCAGAGAGCCTAAGAATTCTAATACAGCCAGATATTGTGTTGGTCAAGTACACTGTCCTGCATACATCTCATTGGTCAGAAGTAAGCATTCCAAAAGACTAATATAATTAGGTTGAGGTAAAAAGCAGTCATATCATAAGTAAATATGGATTTTTTTCTAGGAAATTAGTTAATATTCCAAAAGACAAAACTAAAGAATACGTATTGTTATTCTTAACTTTGTTTAACGCAAACTGGAGTTTATTACGAGACATTTCTATAAACGTAAATAAATTCACGACCTGTTAAATCTAAATTGGAACACTTAGATTTAGATTTAACTGGATTAGTGAACTTGTAGGATATCCATAGTTCCTGACGAAGCTGTAATAGCGAAATATTGAGCTAATAAAGTTACATTCTGGAGATATAAGTCGTGATTATATTTACGTTTAAAAAGTACGTATACAAAAAAGGTATTCGATTGAATAATGATGACGGGAAACTGCAGACATTATAGAGATGAAAAGTTGAAAATTTAGATAAAAACTTAAATATTTTATAAGAGTAACCTTCACAACTTTTCCAACCTATTTTATAATGAGGATAGAGTTCATTTTTGTAAAGCAAAACACATTTTAAGTTAAAGTATTTCATTTAATAATGATTACTTTTATTATTTATATTTGGAACCAAAACTATTGACTTACATAATGATTGTGACTGTTATTTACGACAGTGGTTCCAAAACGTTCTTCCTCTCAAGTTACTCTCCTCACTCACGACACTATCCATCATAACTGAAGTTTCCCACCAAATAAATCCACAGAAAATGAGTAGTTTAATGTCATTTAAACAACTGTTGCCTATTTCATTCTTACAATCACCTCTTTGTTGTAGTCATATAAGAAGGTATAGTTTTGTGTGTGTGTGTGTGTTGCAGCTCCCAGGGGTACTCGGTCCCCAGTTTGGGAACCCCTTATTAGGATACCGTCTACTTGTTTATATGTTACAGTGTACTGTTCTTGTTGATTTGTAGCGCAAAGCTATCAGTCTACTGCGGAGAATGGAACTCCGAATTTCATCGTTGTAAGTTTATAAACTTGCTGCTGACACTATACAGTTAGTTATATATGTATCATTTTTAGTTGTGAATATCATTGTAAATAATTTTACACCTTAGAATGTTATAGATTTACTTTACTCGTATATCAATGTAGCTCTTAAGGTGGGTGATCTAGTTATATCAATATATATATAAAAGCCTGGTTTTCGTAAGTATAATAATAGTGACGTGATTGGTGCGATAATTTGTCTTAAGCGTTCGAATATTCTTAATTCGGTGATTGTCATTTAGTCAGTCTGTGGACAGACAAAAAACAAACGGAGACGGTTGGTGAAGTCACAAACCCAAGAATATGGAGAGAAAAAAATTGAATAAAAACCCCACTTTTATATTTTAACCCTATAATTATCGAAGGAACCCATTTCCTGATCTCTCAGGTTTTCAAACACATTTTTTTCTAAATAATTTTTTATCCACCAAATTTATTTGTTGGTTAAATAACACACGCCCTCCCCAGTAGCACAGCGGAATGTCTGCGGACTTACAACGCTAGAAACCGGGTTTCGATACCCGTGGTGGGCAAAGCACAGATAGCCCATTGTATAGCTTTGTGCCTAACTTCAAACAAACGAATGAAAATACCAACGAAAAAAATCATCAAAATTACACTTAATCTCAGTAATTACTGCTTGGATCCGGAAAATGAGTGATTTTATCCACCTTCTTTTTTGCCAGTTTTTTTACACCGAGTGACGCAAAAACGTGAAGTTAATCAATATTATGCAATATGTGGACCTCAGCGGTATAAAAACAAATAGCCGTGTTTGTAACTTTTACAATTTTCGCGCAAAGTTACACTAGGGCTATCTGAACTAGTCGTCCCTAATTGTGAAGTGTTTGTTTGTTTGTTTGTTTTTCAAATTTCGCGCCAAAGCTACACGAGGGCTATCTGCGCTAGCCGTTCCTAATTTAGTAGTGTAAGACTAGAGGAAAGGCAGCTAGTCTTCACCACCCACCGCCAACTCTTTTACTAACGAATAGTGGGATTGACCGTCACATTATAACGCCCCCACGGCTGAAAGGGCGAGTATGTTTGGTGGAACGGGGATTCGAGCCCGCGACCCTCAGATTGCGAGTCGAGTGCCTTAACCACCTGGCCATGCCGGGCTCCATAGTTGAAAGATGGCCTGTGAACATAAGAAATTATATATAATACTGCTGTTTGTT